GACACTGGAAAACTTTAAACCTCACCTTTTCATACGCCATGATTCTACTACCATCAGAGAGAAGCCTATCTCGTATTCGCTGGAGCAGAATTCGGTTTTTGCTACACGTGGTCTCATTAAAGGAAAAATAGAAGACAAAACAAACAGAACAGCTGTGGTTCATACATTTATATTATCTTATAAGCCACCAATTGTTTTTGCTCGCACGCGAATGGCCTAAGCGTATCTGAACAGAGCACAGTCGAGACTTCTTTATTTGTTAAGTAAAAGCAATAGACCACAAGTTTCTATGTTTTAGAGGCATGATAAACCACTTGGGATGTTGGAAGGACACTCGAAGAATTCGTAAATCACGAGCCGCAGGCTCGTGATTTACGAATTCTTCTCGTGTTCTTCCAACATCCCGCGTGGTTGATCAGCCTATAAACCATAAAAACTTGTGGTCTATTGCTTAAATAAATTTTCAGTTTTTAATACGGAGTGGTAAATGACATTTTCTTAATTTGTGAATGACCCTGTTCGTTGCCCTCAAAATAAGTAATGACTATTTCTTTCCTTGTGAACATTGGTTTTGTAAAGTGGCAATGGCCTGTAATTTTTCAAAACTTGAACTTTCACTGATGACTTTTTAAAACATATAAACAAGCAAATCTTCCCATTAATTTGTTCACTTTGCCTTGAGAATGGTGTCAACATGACGCCGAAACCTCGGCTATTAACTTTAATTTTCACTGAAAGGGGAATACCAGAATGTTAATTCATCGCGAGCACGTCTCCTATTGTTTTCGACACTCGTCCCTCCCAGCGTAAACACTGATTGCGTAATAACAAAGACAACCCGTTGGCTCCCTCTCTTGATAAGCGGGTTTTGTTTTCCTGGTGCTCATTACGACAAAAAATATCTTTATTTGCATGACCATAAATACATACAAAACTAAAACAGTAACGGTTATCGTGACCATATAATAAGGTTCTGATACAGCAATCAAGTTGCATCGGTTTGATTTGAAAGTAGAATGAATTTTTCTAATTGAATTTTAACATATAATGATTTGTAGAAGTCATAAGTTTGGCAATGGCTTGTAACGGATATAATTGTTTAAAAGACGGAACGATAATTATGTTCTATTTTTCTATAAAATTTATCTCTTAGTATAGAGTATTTAACTCAAGACATAAGAAAGTGAGATTCATCCTTAATTTGATTATATTAGGTTCACAAATGAGACAGTCTGCCTTAACCCTTGGAATTTGGTCATATCTACTAGTTTCAATCTTTAGTTTGTGATTGCCTGTCCTAAATTTCACTAGTTGTTTTCTTTCACATAGCTTGCTTGTTACGCCTAACCTGCGAGCAATACTCGCAAATACAGTTTTTACGCAAGAACCATACCCGAGTGGAACTCACTTC